TGCTACTTTACTGTTTGCTTTCGTTCTAACAATGAATTTACAACAAAAACGATGGAATTTTAATCCTTTTTGGGACTGTCCCGTTACGTATTTGTCTTTTACATCTTTGTCTATGACCTATAGATTGATATTTTAAATTTTTTTTTAATAATACTGATGCATGATAAGGCAGACGGCGGTTAGAGAGCCAGTACAGTTCAGAGGGACAGATGGATCACCACAGTCCGGTTGAGATTAATGCAGCGGGAAGTGAAGAGAGGTTCTGGCAGATGCTCAAAGCTCAGAGGAAAGGCAAGACGAACGTTTGACCAGAATGCTACTGGCACCATAAGCAGAACTCTTCACTGGCTGCTGAGTATGGGGATGGAGCACTTATGGGAATGCCCCGAGTGCTATATCGGTTCTTGAATCAACTCAACTGTTATCTTTCTTTCAGCATTTTATTCTTCTTCTACTTATCTTGCTCCTCCTCCTCCCCTCCTTCTTCTACTTATCTTGCTCCTCCTCCGTCTTCTCCCACTTCAGCTTTTCTTTTTCTTCTTTTTCTCCTCCTCATTCTTTTTCCCTCCTCCTCATACTTATCTTGCTCCCCCTCTTCTCCTGTTATTTTTCTTCTTCTTTTTTCCCTCCTGCTTCTCTTCTTCCTTCTTATTCTACTGATCTTGCTCATCCTCCTTTTTCCTTAACTACTTCTTTTTTTTTCCCTATCTTCTTCTGCTCCTCCTTCTCTTCCTCTTTCTCCTGCTGCCCCTCTACCTCCTCCTGTTACCTCTCCTTCTGCTCCTCCTCTTCCTTCTTCTTCTCAAAATTGTCCTCCTTTTCTTTATTTAAATATGTGCCCCCCCCCCCCAACTTTAAATTTAACCTCTGGAATAAGTTAGCGGATACATAGATTCTCTTCACTAATGATAAAATTAAAAAGCATTCTAATGTACTGTGCATATATATATATATATATATATATACATATATATATATATCGCTTAACATCACACGACTGGCTGACTGACTAACTGAATGGCTGGCTGATTCAGTGAGGATGTGGTTTCTGTGAGAAAAGGCAGGGAACGACCATCACGATAGTGGACACAACCCCTCTAAAATAAAAGTTCACGAAGGAAAGTTGACAGAGAACAGATTGTCTTTTTGTAATGCGAGTGACGTTCTGCTTTATTAGTGCGACAGTCTGTTACGTTTGTAGATTGCTGCTGTGTTTGTTATTCGATCTATGCTTTTTTGTTTTGATATAAATTTCTGTAACCTATGGTACCATTTCAATACTTTGAGATGAATTATGTCTGTATTCTATAGTTGTGGAATTCAATAGGTAATATTGACATGGACAATAAAGACACCTTTTTGGTGTTAACTGGTGGATAGTTCTGGTTGTTTGTCCACCTCTAGATTTTTGTCATGTTCCAAAACCTAAATGTTGCCTGTATATCCGTTTTACAGATCTGATTAATATGTAAGCAAATTCTTGGCTCCTTGTCTCTCAGGCAGATGCACTCTGACTTCAAAGTAAGCCCTATAGTGGGTCGGCTCTTACGACATAGGGATGGCAGTGGATCTACACTTGTTTTCCCCAGAATGGGATTCTGTCCACTGTTTATCCCTCTAATTTCAGCCAGGTGAACTGTTCCACGGAAGCTTAAGACAATAAAGACTACAGATACATCCCCATACAGTACAGCTGTCAGGCTACCTTTGAGATCTACAACAACACCCACTTGGTGGTCACAAAGACCATCAACTTGATCAAAGAAATGGGCCAGTACCTCGTGTGGATATTCACTCTAGATCATCACATCAAGGTCAGTCTGCATCCCTTCCTCCTCATCCTGCTTGTTTCTCTTTCTGTCTTCCCACCCTTCTTTTCTTCCTTTTTCTGCTTCTTCTTCTGTGATCTGTTTGCTGACAACTGTACAATATATACTAGTAATGATAATTTTAATGATTTGGGAAGTTCTTTACAGAAAAAGGTAAATAATCTTAATAAATGGAGCAATAGTAATCGCATGCAAGTTAACATAAAAAACACTAAATCTATGCTTATAACAACAAGACAAAAGTTACAAACATTAGCCTTGCACAAACTACCTCTTGAGCAATGTAACTGAGCACAAAACATTAGGCCTTGCAATTGACAATAATTTAACTTGGAATTCTCATGTTTGTGTCATAGCTAAGAAAATTGCATAAATAGTTTATTAGCTCGCCAAAATTAAGCACTTCCTGGATGAAGATACAAGAAAAACATTTTATGCTTCCTACATTAAAACACATGTCGACTAATGCTCCACAGTTTGGGATGGTTGCGCCAAATCTTATGTTAAAAGACAAGTTTCCTTAAAAAACAGGCTTTACGTCTGGTTTCAGATAGAAAATACAAAGTCCGAAGATTAAGTAATGAGACTGATTCCATAAAAATTAAAATAATCAACCGTTGAAGATATAACCTGTGTGTTATGGCCCTTAAAGTCGATGTTAAAGCCCTTTGGATGTCATCAATATTGTTAAAGAAGGGTCTGTTCAATCATAACTTAAATTTTGGGAATAGAAAATAATCACCGAGAGACAAATATGGGGAATAGGGTGGAATGCAGAGAACACATTTGTTTCTGGGCCAAAACTTCTTGTTTTGATTATGTCTCTTGGGTACTCAACCAGCTAATGTTTTTGACCATCAGACAACGAATGTGGTCCAAACCGGCAAGCAATTTTTTTCTTGCCAAATTCTTGCATTCACATGTTATGAATGGTCTCTCTGTTAACACCATATTCATCTGCCATCATCCTCACAGTCAAACAATGATCTTCTTGTATCTGTTCTCTGACTTTTGCAATGCGTTCATCATTACAAACATAAATTTGGCGTCCAGGTCCATTAGTAACCATTTCCACACCACTTTTGAATCATGAATACCACCTGAAAAAAATTTGTGCACGAGATAAACAATTATCCCATAAACTTGTTGCATCAGCTCAACTGTTTCAATGGCGCTTTTCGCCCCTGAGTTTTAACAATAATTCAATGTTGGCCCTTTATTCCGTGCTGATTATGTAACAATGCACTTCTGACTAGGTCAACAAAATGGTGGCTTATTTGTTGTCTGCCTATCAAGCGGCGATGAAAAGTTGCCAGATCATAGATGAATGTTGCCTCTTTAGATTCCATGCTCTGCTTCGTAGATAGTCTTTTTTTCTTGGCCATAATAAAATCAGTCTCATTATTTAATTGTCTGACCTTATATATTAACAAAAATAATCTTTATAGCCATCTAAACGTCTGCCACTTAACAAAGTTAAATTTATTCATAAAATTGTATCTGTTGTGTCTGTGTTAATGTGTGTGTATCCTTGTTGTGTTTGTGCCTGTGTACGTATGTGTGTCTGCATGCTCATGTGACTATTTGAGTGTCTGTGTGTGTCTCTGTGTATGTCTATCTGTGTGTTTGGAAGTCTGCTCTATAGTCATAGATGGCAGATGCATGAATGCACCTATTTAGTGTAGGTGTGCTGTAAGATCACAGAGTCCTGTCTAAAAAAGTTCCATTGAGATCTATGCTCCACTGACAGATTATAAAAAGGTATAAGGAGAAATTATAAGTTCTAAAATGTGAATTAACAGTAAATAATATGTATTTGTTTCACATTCCATGCAGTGCAATGAATCATCATAGACAAGTTACACACAAAAAGATAAGAAACAAGAAATTATATAAGTTAGCACAAAATGTATTTGCTGTGAACATGTTGCACAATATGTAATCCAGATGAGGCAACCACATATACTGAAGCACAATGTCTTATGCAGACATACCAGCAATAATTACTGCTGCACAATATCTCATTCATACAAAGTAGGAACATGTTATAGCATATGCTGCACACATTTTGTGAATAAGAAATGACCATCACCACTCCACTCCCAAAGTATTTCAATAAATAAAAGCAGTTATCTAGAACTCTTCTTCCTCTTCACGTTCACTGGCTGTAAACTCTGGTGGAAGGTTCTGGACTCTAGTCCTGTCCAGGAAACCGATTGTTGCTTGCAAATCTGTTTCACAGATCTGACTCATTTGTTGCCTATCAGACAGATACACGCAGACTTTGAAGGAAGCTCCCAATTAGTCAACTATTACGACATGCTTTTTGGTACCCAGTGGGTATATTTTTGTTTTCCCCACAATGGGGCCCCGGAACACACACAGGGATATGTAGAACTAAGTAACACAGTGTTGCCAGGAGTAATCTGGTTCTCAAAACCTGATGCTTACAGGAAAGTATGCCTGACCTGGTGAATATGAATGATAAAGCACAGAAATGAAAATAAAACAGTAAAACCAATAAATACACTGAATGCTAAAGGTAAAGGTAAAGTCAGGAGATGTGAACCAGCGTCACTGCAGACGGTTATAAACCATAAGTGCTCTGCCACCAGTACGGACAGCTGATAAGAAACTGTCCGTCTGTGCCCCCGTCCGCGCCTAACTCTGTAGCTACAGCGACGTTCCTCCATTTACCCCAGAGTGTCAACTCTGGTACCCATTTCCTAGAGGCTGGGTGAACCCCGGGAGCCGCCCGGTTTCGAACACCGACTGTGGGCTGCAGCGAGTCGCAGCTGGATTTGAAAGCGAGCCTCTTATCAACTGCGCTAAAGTGGCCCCTACTGAATGCTAAACCTTAACATTAGTAAAATCTCTTTCCCTCGACTGTTTCCACATGTCTGTGAGAACATCAATCATTCCGAATCAACAAATCCAGAAGGTATCTCTGCAATCAAACCACAATTATGTGTCACCACTTGAATCGCTCTTCACATAGATACACACAAAATGTGACATCTCAACTAACAATCTGTGTAAACAATTTGATTAGTTTATAGATTACAATACTGTTGAATTACATCACAAATATCACACATTTACACAAGACAAAGTAAATGTTCAAGAAGAAAAAGATTTAAAACATGGACTTGATATACATTTTAAACAAGATTACTGAGTTGCTTTTGTTTTCTTCCTTCCTCTAGCAGCTTTTTTGTCTTTCTTCTTCAGTCCATCCATGTTTGCTTTCAATAGATTACCATATGCCTGTGAGAAAAAAATACAGCAAACAGTGAGTGATGTCAGTATGTGTGTTAGAGACAGACTATGAAAGAGAGAGACATCGAGATGGCATTAAGGAGAGATGAATATATATGTGTTATTACAGGACGTTTCAAACATGATAGATGATGTGTATATACACAATGTACACTTGTGTAAATTAGAAAATTCGAATCAAATAAAAAGCACAACCTTTGGTAAAAAAATCAACTAACGCAGGATGCCTTCTGGATATCAGAACTACAATCATTATGGCTAAGTAGCTTTTGCAGATAGAAAAAACAGTCACCAATAAAAAGCTGTAAACTTCAGCAAAAACAATTGTGTTCAAGTGCTAAACAGCACCCATACTTTTGTATGCATGTGAAAGATGGACAATAAACAGACAAGTTGACAAAAACATCGAATGGCAGGAGTCATTTGGTTTTTGAGAAAAATGCAAACAACGTGAACTGACAGAAAAACTGAACATAAGATGTTGCCCTCTAGAGAAACTGATTGAAACCATAAACTGATCAGATGATTTAAGATACAGGCAAGATTTGTAGAAATATTTTCAGGAGAAACAAACCTAAACACTTAGAGACAACCAGCAAACCTAATGCAGTAAAATGGCTCAGCCACACGGACTGCGGTAGGAGTTTGATTATAATCATCATGTGATAGGGCAAACTATGATTAGCTATACTTATCAGTATGGTACTATTTCTCTCCTTCCCACTTACTCTCACCTACATTTCTCTAGTTCAGGTATTACACACTTTTAAATATTAAATATACAAATGACACCAAAGAAAGTAAAAGTACACAAGTTTAATCTTTTCCAATTTTAAACATTAAAATAGTTTTCTCGTCGTGAACTTGCTTAACTTGGACACAACAAACACAGTGCACAATTTATTGCCTGATATATTGTTCTCTATTTCATCAGGTGCATTTCTACAGCTACAGCAACATAAAGTAAAGCATGCAAATTAATCCTTTTTAACAAAAAATGTACCCCCCCCACACACATGACAGTCAGTTCTTTTCACACTGTACACCAACTGATTCTTTGTGATCAATAATATTTTAAATTGGCAATTACCCACAACTAAACACCTTCAAAATAATTAACTTTCTTTTCTCTCTCAACTTCTCTGTCTCTTACTTTCAATATGTAATATAAATCAGTACACAAGAAACAGTAACAGACTTACCATTTGAAACTTTGTTACATCTTTGTGGTTTATCTTTAAAGAAACAACAAATGATTTCAACTTCTAAAGAAAATGTGGTCATGGAAACATTTTAAAAAAAAAAAAAAAAACTGTTTTTCAAGTCACTTAAATACTGGTGTGGTCAGCATGTTTTGCCATGTCTCTCACTCTCCAAAACCAGTCACTGATACGTTAATATTTGTCTATATCGTGCAAGGCATTCTAGTATCTTTCCTCTCCATCACCCAGTATCTCTTTCACTATATTATCATTATGCTTTTTATATGACCATAGATTTCTCATCATTCTTTTATAAAACTACATGTCTAACATTCACTAAATGGCAACCGTCCATGATTTACTTGCGTGCATACACTCTATATATTGCTTCCTTTACTTGAACTTTTCTACAGGTTAATTATTTATTACACATTCCATCTGCTTTTATCACGGTACCTAGATACTTAAACATTGTGACTTGCTTCATAATTGTCCCATTTACTTTTATTTTGCATTTGCGGAGACTTGTTTTCTTTGCAGTTACCAATACTTATGATTTTTCTACTGTTCAAGCCGAGTCCATTGTGACAAATATGTCCATCATTTTATTTTCAGCCAACAACATTGAGATTATTTCCTCAGCATGCCACAGGTTATTTACATCTTGCCCTTAATGCCCTGGTATATATTGTAAGGATTTCATTTTTGTTTCACTGTGCATAGTGGTATTAGTTTGATAGTACAGTCAGGTTTAACACCTTGTTTCATGTAATAAAAGGTTTCCCCTTGGCTGTCAATTCTTTGCCAGTGTAGGCCTTTCAAACAACAATAATTCTAAGATAGTTGCCATCAGTGTTAAGTTTGTGAACAGTTTTGTGAACACTGATCATTTCTCCATGTTTCACATGCTTACTGTATCATAGAGTCAGCTAACAAAACTTGAACAGTATGAAGCCATGAGGAGGGCAATTCTAGGATGTACAAGAGATGCCCTGGAAGTATGTGTGCGATATATATTTGCACTGCCTACTATTACCGATAGGCTAAAAGTGCTGCAAGAAAAGTCATATCTCAGATTAGCAACATAGAAGAAGCACCCCCTGCATGAAGCTCAAGACCAGTGGTTCTCAACCTGCCGTTCGCAACCCCTTTTTGGGGGTTGAACGAACCTTTCATAGTAGTCGCCTAAGACCATCGGAAATGATATTCATTGAAGTTATGAAAGAATATAGTTGTTTGGGGGTCACCACAACATGAGGGAACTGAATTAAAGGGCAGCACTGACAAGAATGAGAGTCACTGCTCTAGACAGAGCTAAGTGTCACACAATGAAAAGAGGAAGGTACTAGATAAAGACACAATTAAACATGTGTGCAGGACAATACTGGGTGAGGATAGTAGTTAGTCATAGTGTCTTAGCAACAATCAGACTTGTACTGGGTATTAATCACATTAGACTGTGACTGCAGAGACTGGCCAGCAGGCGCTGCAGAATCAGAAGTTAAACAAATAATTCATGATCAACCAGGTGATGTGATTATCTTTACCAATGGCTCTATGTTAAGAGGCAGATGAAGTTTTAAGGGGGTTCTCAGCAAAAGTTAATGGATGTCGCTTTGTGCAGCAAACCCTGGCATATGATACCACAACTAGTTTGAAAATGGAAAGGGTCACTGCAGCTTTCACTGGCTTAAGAACCAGGTGTAAACAAATATTGTAATTGCAAATCATACAGCATGTTGAAAAAGGTGGAGACAAGTATGCACCGTGCCGAGTGGCAAGTATTGATTCAGAGGTGCCGGCAGTTAGTGTCCTTGGGATGTTTACGCAGGCTAGGCCAGTGTGTTGGGAAATAAACAGGCAGATAAACTGGCTGGTTCTGCATAACTTGGTGGTGAAACTAAGCATGACAAGCTAGATGTTGTTAGGGCCTTTTGGGGGAAGTGATTAGCGTGGAGGCACAGTTGGACCATCATGGACTGAGGAGAAGAATGCTTTAAGGAGGTACCAGGGGATCTGGCCAATGCTAAACACTCAGGGAAAAGGTGAGATGGATATACAATCACACTGTTTCTTGTACCACTGGAATTGGAACTCTGCAAGTGCGGCTGAAGATGGAGATAGTGCACTTATGCGACAACTTCATGCCTCAGTTACACTCATCTGAAGTCTAATGGTAAACTGTTTGAGTACTAAAATTAAACTTGAATACCTACCACAGTTGTGATTTTTTTGTTTCCAAGTGTGGCACGCACCAGACACTTATATTCAATGGGTTCTACAATATTTCCAGTTCTTGGTTTAGGCTTGTTTCGTCCATCATCTGAAAAAGGCAATGTGTAAAAAGAGTATGATTATTTTTCTGGAATATTACAAATATATTTTCTGCCAAATGGAGATGTTAAAAAAAAAGAAAAAAGCGTATTAGATTATATATTTGGGAAAAACTAAAACAAAATGAAAAATGCTAACAGTTTAAACAAGACTTTGCTAAAGTAACTTAAAGAAGCTTGGCAGAAATTATAAACTGTGATGCTGCAGAGGCAAATTAACTCTTTTAAGTTCCAAGAAACGCATCATACGTTCATTCGTTACTTCATACAAGCCAAATGAACGCAGGATGCTGCAATTTTATGTCTCTTTTTTACTACTCTTTGAGCCTCTGATGCTAAACCCTCTAGGACTCAAAGAGTTAAATACAAGAAATCAAAATAATATGCAGTCTTCAACATGTATTGTGTAAAATATTCCGGTTCCTTTAAAGAATCGTTATTTCCTACAATAACAGTAATAAACACCAGAAAATCATGGAACTCTAATTAGTCCATGTTAATTAAAGCATTCATCATGTATAGATAGTGATGGTTTATATACTCATATGATCATGTCTCTTATCAAGTTTCACCTCTTGTCTCCACTATGCCATGTGACTAAGCCACTAAGAAATTTATCGCTTCCTCTCCCCCTTACTCTTTTTTCAAGTTCATAAGCTGCAACTCAGTTTTACTTTATTCCCTTAATATTTACACTGTCAATTTCTTTTTGTGTGTGTGTGCACCATTTCACTCTGTAAAATAAAAATAAAAAACGTTTAAAAAAATGTGTTACAAAGAAACACATTCTTATATTTGAAATGAGAAGAAGAGAAGAAGAGGCAGAAGACATTTGGAGCGTTAACCAGTTTTTATAAAAGTCCAGAGGGTTGAACCTCTAGACCAGTGAGCAGACAGATCAGAGCTGCTATACTGGCGTAGTGGCCATTGCCTAAAGACTTTATCCTGTTAAATGTTATAAAAAAACGGCTTCATCGCAGTGAGAGGGTTAGCAGTTAGAGCACTGTGTTATGGTTTACTGCTAGGATGTGACATCTCAGCTCTCAGACCCAACATATTCGATTTCAGTAAATTTCTAATTAGTCAACATTTACGTCAAGCTTGTTAAAAAGGAGCAGTAGGTATATCCCCTCCCCCCCCCCCCCCCCCCATGGGGCCCCAGAATGCACATGGGAGTTTTTCAATGCCTCATATCTCTAACTGCTTTCGGGTTTTAATCTGCTTCCTGATTATGTGCACAGACACTGGAGTTTGTTTAAAAAAAAAAAAAAAAATCAGCACACTATATATATGCTTTATTGTTGAGAAAAATAATAATGGAATTTAAACTCACATCTTTTCATTGTCATGACAACTGAGCCGGTAGTCTTTCCTTTACTGAACAGTTTTGTAAGCTCTGTAAGAAACTAGATATGATAGAAAATAAACACTAAATTATGTTTCAATATTCTGACAATTCATGTGTTTTATATTGTATATATACACACACACATGCATGCACACACACACACATACAGAAAACTGAAAAATGTTATCCATAAATGCAATAAAAATAAGTATTAACACAAGATATATTTTAACATTGTGCATCACTATCAAAGTTGTCCCCTTGTGTGATGCATTTTTTGGGGTTATTTTGAAGCCTCACCCTGGCTTTTGTCGGGGGCACAGAATATAGCTGAGCCATAAATATGGCCTAAACATAGACATGGCCTAACGGCTAAAAGGGGTTTCTGGGACCTCTCCACGGGTGATCCTTATCCTCGTGTTTGCACTTTGTGTCACCGGGTGTTAATCGTGTGATGTCCTGGTGGGGTACAACTTACCTACCATTTTGCATCTTAATTAAAATTTTCAAAAGATTTGCAAGAAACATGTGTTAACCGCAAACTGAGACTAATATAAATGAGTTCACAAACTGCAATGTATAATACCAGCCAAACATGCAGATCTTGGGGGAAAAGGGAGAGAGGGTGTGGCTTGTAACTGAGGTCAACCAACCAGCAGTAGCAATCCCCACCTCTCCCCCTATTTTCCTCAAATGCATAACCTGACACAAAAGTCTGAATGATCCTGGAAGGGTAACCAGGGCAACTAATGTCTAAAGTAAGATGTTTTAGTCGTGAGGCACAATTATGATAGCTATATTGTAAAAAGGCACAATGTAATTACCTCATCATATGAACGCAGAAGAAGCAAGAATAGTTTAGACAAGAACTGACATCACTGCCGTTGGGTCGTTTCTGCAGGTAATCTTCTTTTTTTTTAGACATTATTACACTGTTTACAGCACAGCTGTGTTATCTACATATTTTGAATGAAACAAACAACCTATCTGGGTATTTACTGACATCATACGCCTTCCTGGTATATAAATGTTCTGCTATATGTAGCTGACCACACAGAACCTTCTTCACCTTGTCCACTTTATCATTTAGTTGACCATCACACACAGGAGTGGCAGCAGCAAATCTATCAGTCTGTTAATTTCCCGGCAAACCTGAAAACGGTGACTTTAGCGACTATAGGGGCCACATTATATTGTTTACATTCACATAATAATGTTCTCTAATTGGGCCTAACCCCAACTCACCTACATCCCATGAGAGAGTAGTGCAGCCTAGACCCACCACTGAACGCAGCCTATCTACCCCCACCCCTAAAGAATTGGACTGTCTGGTCAGTGTTTGGTGGAAGATACTGGGATAGAACCAAATATAATATGTACTCTCAATAACTGGCTTTCCTTTGTTTTTTCTTCTTCAAATTTTGTTGACAGAACAAAATATTTTAAAGAATGTTGAGTGTACCATAATAAGCTTGGCCATAAATGTCCTGCATTTATGACTTTGTGCGAAATGTATTAGTTAGTTAGTTAGTTAGTCTTTTCTCTTGTGTCGAGTGCGGCACATAAGGCAGAGGTCATGACTCTCCATGCATGGCGGTTAGTTGCAATCAGTTGTAGGTCTTGGATGTTTGAGTGGCCCATGAGCGAGCCTTCCCTGATGATAGTTCTACGTAGGGTTTCCCTTGGTCTTCCACGAGATCTTTCCCCTGTGGTGTCCAAATGAGGGCTTGGTAAGGAAGTCTTGATTTATCCATTCTAAGGGCGTGGCCGACATAGTTCCAGCGGCGTTTTCGTATAAAATTAGACACATACTCTTGCCTGGATTCTTGCCTTATTTGTGTATTGGTTCGGAAATCTGACCATTTGAAATTTAGTATTCTTCTAAGGCATTTATTTTCAAAACTATCTAATTTTGTGTCTAGAGTTTTCGTTGATTTCCAGCTCTCACATCCATAGGTTAGTACTGGAATCACACAAGTATTGAAGATCTTGAGTTGTGTGTTTGCTTTAATTTAAATTATAATTATGTTATTGTTTCCAATAACTTTTTCATTTTGGCTTGACATCAGTCATCCCGTCGCCGAGTGTCTCAAGTGTTCTGACTGTTCCTAAAACCTAAACCTGCCATCTGTTGCTTTGCTTGTGCATTTTCACATATAATAATAATACTATAATAATGTAATAAGTGAATAGTTAAAATAGTAAGTAATTTAAATTTTAAATACAATGTAATAGACAATAGTAATAGTTAATAGTAGGGATTTTAGTCAAAATGTAAAAATTAGGTTTTTTACTTTTAAACCAAGACAGCTGAATAGAGGTTGAAAACCCGAGTCCAACGATACCTCAATGAAGTCTGTATGTCAATTCTAAGCGGAGATATTCACATTTCAGTGACGGAAAGTTGCCCCAAAAATTTATAATGGAAAACACAGAAACAAGATGGCGGTGTGTTCCCAAGTGAAAACTGGACCTAAATTTATCATGTTTAATGTCAATAACTCTCAAGTTTTTTGCTGAACCCCTTAGCAACCATATGTCATTGCTTTCAGGACAGCAGGCTCTGACTAAAGTTGTTGCCTTTAAAAAAAAATGATGTGATGCAAACCTAAATAACATAAAAATGAGTTTGTTTATCAGGATTGATAACCTTATTTATGAATTAAATTAATGATTATTATCCAGTGAGTCTTCCAAGACATATACTGTAATATGCATACTTTTGTAACTATTCTTCTTGTTATGATGCATCTCTTCCTATTTGTTTAAAAATGCTTTTTCTTGCACTCTCAATTGTGTGTGTGTGTGTAGTGTGTATACATCTGACCGAAATTTGCTCTATTCCACTGTTAAAAAATGTTCAATAGCGAGTGGATTGACTTCACTGCATCGTTACTGGTTTCATATGGCTTGGTCTTTCTCCACATAACCATGAATGACTAGCCTTAGCAGTAAGCCTGAATACCGTAGCTCCAGCAACAGCCTCCAGGGGTCCCTGTTAACCCAAACAAAATGTATTTTTGAGACGAACAAAGCAATTGTAAAATAAACTCACCGCAACGTTCCGAGCACGAGGTTAATGGCTTGACCACTTTTCTACAGAGACCCCCAATATTGTTTGATAACCAAGTGAAAATTTGCACCCTTTTTACTGATTTAACATAATCCCTTCTTCAGTCTTTGCGAGTTATTCTTTAATTTTATTGATGATGAGCGCATTTTACCACAGTGTTTCCCTCTTCTTCTTAACTAACACTGCTGGATATTTTATTTACTAGTTCAAAATAATCTAAGGTAACTCACTGCTCATACCTGATTTGTGATTCAGTGCTATGTTTTCGTGGAGTAAAATTATTTAATAAGCTCCTTTGTGATTCGCTTTGGATTTATGTTGTGTTTTCATGGAGCAGCATTTCATAAGGTAAGAGGAAAAAGAACATTATATATATTTTATTAACGTATCTATGTCCCATGTGATCTGTTTGCTAGCTAGTATATTTAGAAAATAATTATTAAATATTAATAATCATAAGTTGTAACTAGCCTTGGCTGTAAGTAAGTAAACGTATGCACAGTTAAACAAATTATAATTTATTATTAATTTTATTAATCGTCAACTTTCTAAATAAGCATCTATAACTCAATACTAATACTATAATTTTAAAACTAATATTATTCATGCCAAATGATAGATTATGGCTTAAAAAATGTTATAATGGCTAAAGATTCGAAAAATGATTAAATAACTACTTAATGTTCATTTAAAAGTATAATAAAAAATGTTTAAACCACTGTCTGTGTCCACAATGTCAGTCTGGGTGCGGAGAGTGGGGGGTCAACAGGTAAAAAGGCTTTAAACAGGAACTATTATTCATGCCAAATGATAGATTATGGCTTAAAAAATGCTATAATGGCTAAAGATTCGAAAAATGATTAAATAACTACTTAATGTTCATTTAAAAGTATAATAAAAAATGTTTAAACCACTGTCTGTGTCCACAATGTCAGTCTGGGTGCGGAGAGTGGGGGGTCAACAGGTAAAAAGGCTTTAAACAGGAACTATTATTCATGCCAAATGATAGATTATGGCTTAAAAAATGCTATAATGGCTAAAGATTCCCAAAATGATTTAAAAACTACAATAATGTGATTTTAAAGTATATTTAAAAATGTTTAAACCACTGTCTCTGTCCACAATGTCAGTCTGGGTGCGGAGAGTGGGGGGGGTCAACAGGTAAAAAGGCTTTAAACAGGAACTATTATTCATGCCAAATGATAGGTTATGGCTTAAAAAATGCTATAATGGCTAAAGATTCCCAAAATGATTTAAAAACTACAATAATGTGATTTTAAACTATATTTAAAATGTTCAAACCAATGTCTGTGTCCATTTTCAACGCAAAATACCCTAGAAAATAGTCTATGTTAAAAACGTGCTAAAACATTATTTTCAAGTATTTAAAATTATTAAAACTCATGTGAAATTAAAGTTAAAGAAAGGTAAATTATAAATACGATAAAAAATGCCTTATTTTTGAACTGTTTTAATAAAAAACCTAGATTAATTAATCTGAGATGAACAGTTCGTTTAGGCCATGCGGTAGCCATTTTGAGAAATCGCCGATTTAGCTGTCAAGAAGTGACCGGGAAGAAATTTAAATTTTATATTCTATGATGTACAGATTCCAGCAAAACTACCCATATTTATGTAAAAATGGACACAGAATCCAAAAATGTCAACTAAAAGTATATAAATTCACTTTAAAAAGGAGATATTAAAGAAATTTAATTCCCGCATAGCAAATAGTGCAATTTATTTGGCTGAACAAAGATCGCTATGTAAGTTAGGTGTCGTTTGGTTGAGCATCCTCTTCTGAATAACTTTGAGCCCACGTATTCGATTCTGAGCAGCCAGTATTGAGCGACAGGATTTCAAAGTAACTGATAGGCAAAGAAGCCATTTTTCGTGGACCACCGACGCCATCTTGTAACTAAGCGATCTCTACTTTCGTTTTTAAGTGGGTCACTTGAATGATCATAATCGCTATTAATAGTAATTATACATTTTCATTTAGTTAGAGTTAGAGAATTATAACGATTAGTTAGGCACTCAAGCAAAAAAATTATCTAGTCACTCGCTTGTACCGTGTCATTTTCAAGCAACATTTTGTTTCTGTCAAGACGTCCGTCGAATTATCCCCAGTTAACGACCGACAAGACGATGAAATACAGAATTACACGACTCACGCCACCACTTTCGATAGCAACTTGTGTACGTACGGCGAATTCAAACAACCGTGCACCTGACGCCAGCACAAGGCACTAGTACATTCTACATGTAGGCAGTTGTAACATGTAGCCATAAATTAAGGACAAATAGTATTAGAAGGTGATTGCAGTCATTTGAGTTTCAAATTTTTCATGTAGGGTCCGGGGTCCCACTGTGGAAGGATGGCTGAGTCACTGCCGCAAAAGTCGATTACTTACATCGGCAACCGGGTCGCCAATTGGCTGGCCTGTAGACGACTTCGTCGCAGAGAATCTACTTGAGGCCCCCCCCCCCCACCCTTTTGCCCCCATATTTTTCTCTCAAAGAACATTTTTTTCTAAATTAGGCCTGCGGTACCAGATTTGTTATGAAAATTAAGTAAAATTGGCAATAATAAGGGGCTATTATCCGGAAGAGTGCCAAAATACCTCCCCTTGTGATCAGAGCGTCTAGAAGATATTCAACACTTCGGGGAAACACGATCGTGATGGGTGATTTTAACTGTAAGACAGGACGAGACAGAAGAACATTTACAAGATACCTTGGCAATTATGCAGACAACAGCATTAGAAATGAAAATGGCGAAAGACTGTTGGATATATGTGCATAACAGGATCTTGTTATTACCAACACCCTTTTTCAACATAGAGCTTCACAAGTTTTTACGTGGTATAAATGGAATGAACCATATACCAAGAGTCAAACTGATTACATCTTGACGAGAAAAAGAGACGTTCATGAAGTTACAGATGCGAGAGTTATACCAAACTTGAATTTAGATACAGATCATAGGATGGTGATACTTGACAGAAAAGTCAAGATAAGTTATCAAACAAAAAAGAAATATAATAAAAGTGACATAATAAAACGGAAAGAACTAGAGTGTGAGGAAAATAGACAAGCTTTTCAGCAAAAATTACAGGAAAATTATGAACAGCTTCCACAAAACACTCTTGGGGTAAATACAGAATGGTTGAATTTCAGAGACACCACTATGAAAATAGCACAAGAAATATGTGGAACTAAAAGGAAAGGTAACATAGGGCGTAAGCTCTCAACATGGTGGTCTGAAGAAATAAGAAGTATTGTGAGCAATAAAAAGAAAGCTTATGGCATTTGGCTGAGGAACAGAACAGAAGAGGATTACATAACATACAGGATAGTTAGAAGATAAGTAAATAGAACTATCAGACAAGCAAAAAGAGATTCATGGGAAAAGTTTGGAAGCAAGCTGGCTGAAGAAGAAAGAACAGCAGTGAAAAACTACTTAAAAAAAAAAAATCAAAGGCATGAGAAACAGGAATGAAGAATACAACCCAACAGAAATGATAAATGATGAAGTTGGCCAATCTTTAATAGAACCTAACCAAAAAGGTGGAGTAGTTACTTTGAAGCATTACTTAGCTGCAATAAAACATATAAAAGCAGGGAAGAACATAAAAACAACTCGGACTAACAGCAGAGGAACTAGAACCATGTATATTATTGGATGAAGTAAAATATGTCATTCGAACCGCCCCTAGACTAAAGGCGACAGATATTGATGATCTACCAGCTGAGGCCATCAAGGCAGCAGAAGAAACGGGAGCAATATGGTTAAAGAGAATATTTCAGGTGGCATGGGAAAATCAAGAAACACCATCAGATTGGCAGACTGCTGTCATCGTCCCACTGTGGAAAAATAAAGGAAGTAAGAGGGAATGTACTAATTACAGAGGAATATCATTTCTCAGTCACACTGGGAAAATGTATGCTAAGACCATCGAAAAAAGGCTGAGACCATTGATAGAGTATCAATTTTCAGAAGCACAGATGGGCTTTAGACGAAACAGAAGTTGCACAGATGCCATTTATACATTGAGACAATTATCAGAGAGGGCAATATAACAGGATAAGACATGTTTGTTGACATTCATAGACCAAGAAAAAGACTTCGATAGAGTCAAGAGGAATATGTTGTGGGAATGTATGGGAAACAAAGGAATCAGCTATCATCTCATTAATATTTGCAAAAGCCTGTACACACGTAGTAAATGTTGCATAAGATCGAAGGCAGAGTTGTCGAGAACTTTTATAGTGAACTGTGTACTATCGCCGCTTCTTTTTCTAACATACATGGATACCATATGTAGTGAAACGAATTTTAATCATGAAGAAGATATTACAGAATTACTCTTCGCCGACGACCAGGTACTCAGCAGAAAATACGGAATGCCTACAGAACCACCTAAATCAAATTAGTAACAAAGGGGAGGAATATAGTATGAAAATAAACACTACGAAGACAGAGACAATGATGATAGGAAGACATAAAGACAATTTAGAAATTAAATTAAAAAACAACACCCTGAGACAACAGAGGAATTTAAGTATTTGGGAGCAATTTTTACATCCGACGGAAAACTGGACAGAGAAATTAGCTCTAGATGTGCCAAAGCTAATCAAGCAATGTGTCAACTATCTCCTCTGTTGACACACAAGCAGATACCTCGGAGTTCTAGAGTAAATTATTGCTAATTCGTTACGTCCTTCTTAGGACGTAATTTTTTGTTATTCGAAGCCCCAAAATAGGCAAGTCATCAATATGGCCTATTGTCTGAACGCGGTTTCTGGGACCTCTCCACGGTGATCCTCATCCGCATGGTGGCACTTTGTGTCATCGGGTGTTTATCGCTTGTGTGATGTCCTGGTGGGGTAGAAAGTCAGTCAGTCAGTGAATCTTATCAGAACTATTTTTTGGCCAACACTATGCTATCAATGCCAAACGTGTACACTTACATCCTCCAATGAACGTACAATTGTGACAACAGAGATGAAATGCCTTAGAAGAGCTGCAGGAGTTCAAGGAAAGACAGAATACGAAATCACGAATGCCCTGGTCCTATCCACCACAGCGAGCCACACTTAAACGTTACAACGGGTATAGAGCTAGTGGAAGACCTCGGAAAATATGGAGTGATGGTATTAAGAATAGCCTTACAGAAATGAACATCAGTCTTAATAGTGCTCTTGACAGAGCTCATCAACTAACATTACATCTCCCCCCCCCCCCCCCCCGACACTTCGATGAGGTACAAGGTGGAAGAGAAGAAGAAGAAGAAGGGGAAACACCGACGGATTTTTAATCAGGTTGCAGCAGGTACTGTTATCATATAGACCCTTTGTTGGCTAACGAGGAAGGAGACGGAGCACGTGTGGAAATGTCCCGAGTGCAGGTATGTCAATTCTTTTTCATTCATTATTACATCGTCAAACGTTGAGGCAGCGCCTCCCTCCCCCGTCCATGAGCAATTAGTTTAACGTTACATGTACGATGAAGCTAGTGATGCCACTTTGAATCTTTTATATCCAAATTTAGATCTTTTTCATTGCATTTAGATACTGTTTTTGATGTTTAGATCGTAAATATTTTTCTAGAAACTTTTCATATGGAGTTAGATATTTTATAAAATTTTTTTCTCTCATTGTCAATTTAATAATTACTGTGTAAAATATTTACTACAATATTTTTGTTTTGGTCTGGCACGTACATTGTGACAACTGCCATTACTTGAGCTTTGAACTCTCACTGGGGTCAACACACAAATATCTGGCAGCCCTGGTACTGATTAATAAAAACGCGCGTAAATCATACTAACTTTGTTTCAACCGTATCCTCACTGTGCTGACTTTGCGTTTCTTTTTCATGTGATTAAAAAAATAATTGCTCACCTTCTTATGTGGCTTTCACTTTGAAAAAACCTTTCAACATGCCAAAAGTAAAGTATGAGCAAAAAATTTGGAAAGAGTGGTTGCATGATGACAAAATTAAAAACTGAGGATATGACCAAAGCTTGTTGTAAGTACTGCAAATGTGAAATTAAAGCGAAAATATAAAACTCAAAGAGTCATGCAGAGACTAAAAAAGCATAAAACTGCAGTTTCATTTAAAGATATCACACCGCTGACATATGTTTTCAGAACTATACTGATAAATGAATCATCAAAAGTTGAAGTATCAGTCGCAATGTTTTTAATTTGTCACTGCGCAATTACAAACTGTGACCATTTGATCGATTTGTAAAAAATCTTGGACTAGTTCAATTTGAAAAGTGTGATGTAGAAAGTATAGTTTAGGAACTGAAGGACCTTTTAATCAGCAAACAGTTAGGCTGTAATTGGTACTGGTAATTCCTCAGTGATGGTTGGTATAAATAATGGCGTTTATGCCAAGTTGAAGGAAGCTAACCCATCGTTAATACTTATAAAATGTATGCGTCATTCATTGCAGCTAGCATTATCACATGCTTCATCTAAATATTTACCAATGAATTTGGAATACCTTATTGCTGAAACACTTTAATAGTTTTCCAAATCATTTGTCAGACAACAGCAATACAATACATTATATACGGCCTTGAATGATGGTTCCACACCACCGAAAATTCTGTCAGATTGCAAAACTAGATTGTTATCAATTTAACCAGCTGTTGAAAGAATTATGAAGCAATGGCTGAAGTTGAAGACACACTTTGAAATAACAAGACAAAGTGAAAAGTGCTACACAGCTGAAATACTATATGGAATGTACAGTGATGAAAAAGAATTGTCATTCATTCTCTTTTTATAACCTATTCTAATGGAAGTGCAAAAAGTTAATAAACTGTTCGAATCTAAACTTGTTGATAAAGTTAAATTACTTGGTGATCTCACCTTGCTATTTCATTCGCTAAAAGACTGGTGTTGCCAACTTCTAAAGCTGATTTGCTCACTTGCACTATAGAGAGCTATTTGGCTCCTAAGCCACACCTTGGATATTAAATTGAATCAAAAATTGATGATTTAAAAACAAAAGGACTGTTAACAGAGATTGAAGAGAACAACTTAAGAAAACGCTGTCAAGATTTCCTTATCTCAT